CAGATGAGATCCTCTCGTGTTCCTCCTTCGCCGGACTAGGCCGAGCCCCGCAGTAGACACAAGCCACAAGCCACAAGCCACAAGCCACAAGCCACAAGCCACATACCAATTCATATGCTAATTCATGACGGGCAAATCTGTTGTCGCCACAGCCGCCCAACCTCCCTCTGGCCCCTCTCCTCCACTCCACTATGCCCCACTATCCTACACTCTTCTTCCCATCACTCTCCTTTACTCCCTTTTTCTCCTTCCTCTATCTATCTATCTCTCTCTCTCTCTCACTCTCACTCACTCACTATCAACTTCCGCATGCGGTTGAGCACACCAGCTTCTCTCTTGTCTCTCTCGCTCCCATAAGGTCTAGCTTCTGGCACAAACACACACACACACACACAAATACACGCATCTTCTCGACCATACTTGTTATGCCAGGTTCTCTCTTTCTCTCTCTCTCTCTCTCTCTCTTTCTCTCTTGACATCCTCATGCGATTGAGCACACCAGCATCTCTTGTCTCTCTCGCTCCCATAAGGTGGAGCTTCTGGCACACACACACACACACACACACACACACGCACGCACATATACACACGTCTTCTCGACCCGACTTGTTATGCCAAGTTCTCGCTCTCTCACGCTCTTTGGCTGTCTCGTTGTCGGTCTGCCAAGCTCTGTTAAGCCAACGCGCCCACTCGCCTGAGCCCCATACAGCCCCAATATCAACTGGCCTTGCTATTGGCTAGAAAGGGTGGTTCAGTTATCTGGCCTTCTTGGTGGGAGCCAATCAGCTCTGGCTTGCCTGGCATCGGCTGCGCTGATTGGCGCGTGAAAGGCTTAAAGTTGCACTCAACGCCGATGAACCAGTGGCCACAGCGAATCTCCGCTTCCACTCGCCTCTGCGACGCAACGCGACGAATCAATGCCACAGCCGGCCTCGGATATGTACATTCCTGCCAAAGGCGAAAGGTAAGCGACAACGAGACCATTTCACCTGCTCCCTTTCTCCTCGCCGTCGTCCACTCTCCCTTTTCTCATTCTCCATCTCGCCACAAGTCTCTTGGCCCAAATGCCTCGTAGCGCAGGCGGCGGTTGTTTTCCCTTTTGCCCGGCGCCGTCGACCAATGCCGACTGGGCCAATCTGTCCGTGTCGTCTGCCAGAACGGG